TTAGAAGGTTGTTTTGTTGGTCAAAATTAAACGCATTTGTTCTTGACTTAATGACAGAGGCAGGTTGTGATTTAGGAATAGTTGAGTTAAAGTCAAATGTTTCTGCTGTTTGAGGTTTGCTTAAAGGAGTTTGGGTTATTCCCTTAGAAGAATCATTAGTGGGGATTTGTTGAGGAATGACTTTTGGAGGGATGACCTTAATTGGTGATTGTTGTGATTGGGTTGGTACTTCATTGAATGAAGGGTTTGAGTCAAAGGTGAATGGTGATGTACTTGTTGGATTAGTCTTTGGTTGATTGTTTGTAGTAAAATCAAATGTTGTTTGACCAAAGTCAAATGCTTCTTGTTTGTTTGGTGGTTGAGATACAACTGGTTGAGAAGAAGACTGATTAAAATCAAATGTTGTTTGGAGTTGTTGAGATGGTTGTTGTTGAGGAGGATTAGTAGGTTGAATAGAAGGTTGAGGAGAAACTTGTTTTGAGTCAATAAAATCAAAAACAGAATTAGTAGTTATTGAAGATGATTGTTGTTGTTGTTGTTCGAGTTGAATTTGTGCTAAAATATCATATTTGTTCTTTACAATAGGTTCTGATTGAATCGAAGGGGATTGTGAAGTTGGTTGAGTAGATGGTGTTGAGGTAGAAGTAGTTTGAACAAAGTCGAAAGTAGGGACAGTTTCTGATGCTGTAGAGTGTGGTTGAACATTTGAATCCAAGATATTGAAAAAATTGGTTTGGTGTGAATTAATACTAAGTCTAGTTTTAATACTTGATTTAGGTGGAGAGAGAGGGGATTTACTTTGTTTTGGAGAAGGGGATTGAAATTGTGGAGGGGTAGATGGTGTTGTTTGTTGTTGTTGAGTATATTGGGTATTTTCTGCTGACCACTGTTTTTCTACAAAACAAGCTTTAATGAACATTCTGATATTTTCAACTTCGCCTGGTTTGGGGAGTGGCAAAGAAGGTTTTCGATTAGCAAGCCATTTTTTCTTTGCTTCACTATTACCCGATTTTTTGATAGCATCGACTTCAGCCATTGAAAAAATGGCTAATGAGACTGACTTGACTCTATGACCAAATTCCATATGAATACCTGAACAAGTTGGACAAACAAAAATATTGAAGTTTGAAACAACGAAAGTTGCACCCTAAAGAAGATAAAT